CACCAAGAATCTGAGAGCCAAAATTATAGTAAACAAATGCAAAAATGGAAAACACCCAGCTATTTGGCATGCTTGTTCTTAAGAGTCGGTAAAGAACATGATAACTCTTAATGTATAGAGTTGAATATAAAACCACGGACAGTAAGAGATATACTGTCTAGATATAAAACATTTAAGTGAGCCGTTTATACAAAGAAAACCTGGTAGATGCAGAAGTATAAATGGATAAATAGTTATTTTATAGATTTTCATACAAACTGTGTTTTTTCCTCAAAGCTGTGAAACAGAAAGTAAACACAGTCATTTCTAACGTTTTATGTCTCAGCAGAGGCAGATAAAAACATTTCCAAACAATCTCAAGTCCATCATTTCTACAGAGAGAAAGATTATTCACATGTGGAAAACATTCAAGCCAATCTTCCAACAAGTGGACATCCCACGCAAATGCCCCCACCCCTCCCTGAAAAAGATTGTGAATTTCAGATTGTGAAACGCTCAGAGAAACTTCAAAAAGGCCAAAAGCTTCATATCAGCCTCCCCAGGCCTCAGTTAGCAAGTTAAATATTAAAGTTCATGGCACTAAGACACATTAAGACAAACCACAAGACTTCTGGAACAATTTTCTTTGGACAGATGAACCATGCACACACCACTGTATATGCTGCCTGGAAACATTTAATTGAACCAATTACTGTGAGAAAGCACAACGTAGAAGACGTTTTTGTACGAATACAAAAAAATGACTTTGTAGATCATTTTGATGTCCCAAGGTTTGTCATGTAATGGAAAAAAAAATAATTTATACTGTCTGCTTTTGTTTGGTAAGACAAAGTGGATTTCATTTAATTACAAGATATTCTGGCTTGACATAACATCCCCATGAAAGCTTGGACAGCTGTATTTGCTGTACATTTGAAGTAGGTAGGTGCTGGAAACACGGGGGTTCTGGTAGATTAGGCAAGACGACAAGATGTCTGTTTGCTTCTGACCTTGTAAGGCCTCCTTGGCACGGTCCAGCTCCTGCTCCTTGTCACCCAGCTGCACACGGAGTTCAGTGGCAGAAAGCAGATTGGCAGAGCAGCCGCCCTGGGTCTCCTCCAGGTCTTTAGTCAACATGTCCTTCATTTGCCTCAGCAGGTGGACCTCCTCTTGGAGCTGGACCACCTCTTCACGCAGCAACACTGAAGGAGAGAAAGAGTTTGCAAATTTAGATTATGTGTAGAATAAATATGGAGGGTAAGTGTGCAGAAAAAAATGAGAAAGGAGGATGGAAATAAAAGAGTAAGCTACAGGGATGTCCAAAAGGGGCAAAATATGCAACAGGAAATGGAAAAATATGAACTAATAACAAAAGTGATAAAATTCTTCAATACATCAAACCACAAAAGTTACAGCTTCCCTTCAGATGTTGCCAGAGGTGTTGCAGAAATGTAGTTACATGCTGAGTGACAGACTCAGGCCTGGCACTGGTGATGGTAGTACGCAAGAGACAGCAGCCTGATAAGACTTAATAAAATATAAGCGGCACACACTCGGGCTGTGTTCCTCTGTGCCGTATTTTCCCTCAGCTGTGCAATGCCTCATATCCCTCAGGGGAAACAGGCAAGCAAACATGAGCAGAGAACTAAGGCGAGGACAAACTGAAGAGCGAACGCAGTGGCACAAGCTGGTGGACACATTTGTAAAGCCAGAGGACAGAAACAATGAAAAAGTCCATTGAAGGAAACCCGTACTAGCAAAAGTGTCACGATGATTTATACTGCGCACATAAAGGGTAGAAGGTCTGTTCCAGAAGAACGCAAGAACAAAGACAGATGAAATACGCAGTCAGCCAAAGCATTTCAGCATAGAATAAAACCTGCAAACGCAATGATAGATTTGTAATTTCCCCAAAAAATAACTCAATACCATAGAGCGCTGCATAAAGAAAAAAAAAGCTATTTGGATCTTATAAGGGATGATGGGTTAATAAATCACGAGTTAAATAAGCAGAAAATTAGTCAAAAAACTGTTTGATTAACAATTTTTCTTGTTAAAAAAGTGATTTATAACCTTAGCAGATATGCTCGAAAGCATAAGTAACTTTTGACATTTTTCAGACAAAACAAGTTTTGAGGTCCAGGAAAATACGTTGGGTGACTTCTGTTGGGAATCCGACAGACAAAAAATTAATTAACAAATCAGTGAGAAATTGTTAGTTTTAAACAATTTTAAAAAAGGATAAATGTGTGAGTGTGCATTTGTGTATGTGTGAATTACAGGCATTAGAGTTTTACTTTCTGTTGCATGAATAAGAATCTGCAATCAAGCTAGCGTCACTCAAGGCTCTGATGTTAACTTCAAAGAAAAGCTAAATGTCTGATAGATGGCTGTGTCAAAAGAACAACAGCAAACGCACACACGCACGAAAACATCATGGGCCTTGGGAACAGGAATTCAGAGGTAACCCCAATTTAACCCCGTGTTAAACTGAGAGCACATACACTGGAAAAACGGTGATGATCCAGAATGCATGACTGGAAAAAAACAAACAAACCATGGAAACGATCCAGCAGCTACAGAGTTGTTTCAGCCTGGATCAATAAGCTCAACTAACCATCGAGGGATGTCGTTCGTACAGCAATATTTCAAGTAAAGAAGTGGAGTGCTCCCTAATTTTTAAGGCAATGCCTTCAAAACTTTGTATAAAACTATAGAGAGAGCCGACGTCAACGTGAGGAAGCCTGCATCAGAGGAAAAACGAGAAGGTCTTAGCAGGCCTGCAGCCAGACGTTGTGGGGCTGCAGCAGCTCCGATAAGAGAGGAGGGGACAGTCCATCGGTCTCTGTCAGCGCGGGACTCTGGAAGCACAGCGGGCAGCTCTGTGCTGCATGTGACAAAAAGAGTTTGTTTCCCAGAGAGAGCAATCTCTCATGGCCTTCTTGCAGCTTAAATCCATTTATTCATCTGTTTACCTGCAGGCTCTCCTATTTTTGTCACGGGAGCCCGGCAGCTGCTTTTGATGACACTGGACAGAATTGGACATTATTTCTGAGGACGCTTTATATTTGTTTCACTGCGATGTGGATGCTGATCGACTCTTGTCATTAGCTGTCAGTTTGGAAATAGCTGCATTTTAGTTGCCAAGTATTAGCATCATTACACGCTTGTGTTATATCCATTAAGCTGTACCTCAATAACAAAGTGTGAGCATTTTGTCCTAAGGGTATCTACGGTGGATTTAGTGAGAAATGTGTTTAACTTACAAAGAATCAATAACACATTTCTCCCAAATCCAATTTCGCATTCATTTTCAGCATCATCCTCTTTCACAATTAAATACACCGGCTCACACAGCAGACACAGGCTAAAATACACAGAAATGGACCTGCAGGAAGTTTTTTTCTTTTAAACAACTCAAATTGTGGTAAAACTTGAGGAAAAATAAAAGTTAAGACTTCTTCAGCAGATGTATGTGATCGTTTCACATCTCAAAAAGAGTGAAAGGACATAAAGAAAAGGGTGCCGACAGAGGCGAGCCATCCATTGCCTGTACCTACAGATAATTCACCTCCATATACACTGTTTTATGCAATCTAAAAAAGCAATTTAAACTGACAGGAGTCATATAAGCCACACAAAGCAGTATGCTCTCTGAGCTTTGAGTGGTTGTGCAGAGAGCTTGGCAAAGCTATTAGTGTCCTCCCACATAAGAAGAGAACCCACTCTCTTCCTACTCAGCAGCGTCCCATTCAATGAACTTCTCATCCAAGCCTCCCATTAGTTTGTCCATCAAAGCCAGTCAGTAGCAGGTCAATCTCTGTCCCTTTTCCTTGCATAGCAGAGCTATTAAAACCCAGCACGCACACGCACACACAGCTGAGGAGAGCACATATAGTAGCTGTAGGCTTATGATGAGGTGTTAGAGAAAGCAGAGGCACCGGGAAGGTTAAGTGGGTGTTGGAAATGTGTTGATTGGTGGTCAAAGACCTGAACTAGTCTCCTGTGAACCATATGCAGGATTAAAGTGGCCTCATTTGTATACATGACTGATCAAAGATGCTTAACGTGCACTACGGTGGAATATTAAACTTGGATGAGAAAGTCCATTTAAAGCTAATGCTCTTGTTGCATTTTAAAAGCAGTTTGTGTCTCACTATGCACGGAAAATGTCCCGGTTAATAGAAGGAGGCCACAAACCGAATAGAAAAAAAAAATGGTAGAAGTAGTTCCAGAGAACTTTAAATGTGAGGCTTGTGGATTAACTAGAAATGGAAAATATTTCTCATGAGACATCTAAACACATTTTCCAGGACTCTTGGGGATAGATCTACTCTATTTTCAATTGGGCTTACGATTTTCCTTTTTGATAAAGCATATAGTTAGGGCTGAATCAGATGACCCTGAATCCTCCTTTAGTTACGCTGCAATAAGCCTGGGCTGCTGGGGGCTTCCCGTGAGTGTTTCTTCTTCACTCACTATGTGTTTATACACCACTCTGCAGTTAAACATTAGTTATTATTAACCTCGGACTCTCTTCCACAGTGTATATTTTATCCTGTCTTCCTCCCATCACACCGGACAGGTCACAGCAGATGACCGGCTTTCCCTGGGCCTGGTTCTGCTGGAGGTTTCTTCCTGTTAGGGGGATTTTTTCCTTCCCACTGTCGCCAAGTTTTTTCCCAGCAATAATGGATTCATTTTTGGGGGACTTTCTCTATTATTATAGCATAGATGTTACAATGTTATGATATGTTACATGTTACAACACAAATCCCTTTGAGGCAACTGTTGCTGTGGTTTGGTGCTGTATAAATAAAATTGAATTGAACAGATCACATGATAGGGTGGGGCTAGGATTCACAATGGTTCACAATCAACCATGGCTGATTGTGACCCACACCTTTTTTCACACGGAGTGGGTGTGATTAGGCAGAGGATCAATAGGGGGTCCATGACCCTCTTGGGGACGGTCTCATAGGGCTTAAAGTCTGGGACTCTCCACCAGTTGCTCTTAGAACTCAAGAAGTTTCTTGGATGAGAGGTGAAACGTCTTCAGGGACTACAGACACCTTCTTTCCAAGCTCTTTAGGCTACAATGACCTGGATGCCTGAGAACCTTCACAGATGAATTGAACAGATATCTCAAACCTGCAACAGTCCTTGCAGCTAGCTGCTAGCATGGTAACATTTCTGTAATTTGGGTGTACTTGTACCGTTTAACAAAGCACTTTTGTTCCACAAGATATCATAAATGGTAGCCTCTCCAGCAGCATGGAATATTTTTAATAAGCAAAACCATTAGAATGACATTTGACAGTCGAGCAGGGCGTCAAAAATCTCTGCAGTGACAGCAGCTAACCATTCTGCCTTGAGGAGCTATGATGTGCATGGTTGTCATTTTTCCGCCTTGGTCTTCCTGCCAATTCAGATTTGTGTAATTTAAAAGTACAGTATACAAGACAAACCCAGAGGCAGTGGTGCTGGCTGTTCTCCTCTAATCTCTCCGGTACAGTAAGTGAAAACAGCTGAGCTGGATAACGAGGGCACACGGAGCTTTCTAAGATCTTTACCACACATGCTGTAATACCCCACACCTCTCTCTTAAATACCTGATGAACCTTCATTAAGGAGTGTAGGTGGGCTTTCTGAGATTTTCACTTTAGGCTCTAAGAGATCACCTTTTCTTGTATAAAAAAAATGTAACAAACAAATTTATGTGACAGCTTCATGGCAGAAAAATCAAGAGGAGGCCGTTCAGTCTGGTTGAACAGCTTTAGCTTCCATGGAACGAACATGTTGGCAAGACACTTGTTAAAAATATGAAGGAAGTTATTCCTGCAGACAAAGAAGATCCGGCCAAAACTTTCAAATCATTTTTCTGCATGAGCTCTTATTAAGCTACAAGTGCAGCACCACACAAAGTGCAAACCACAGCTTTGGATTCTTTTAGAAGATTAGTATTGAATTAGAATAGAATAGCTTCTTATTGTCTCCGTTACAAGAACAATGAAAGGCAGTTTGGCATTTCTCCATGTGTGTGAAGTACACAATAGCGTAAGTATTTACACAATAACTGACAAATTTACACAAGAAAGATATGTACAAGTTATACATACACCTGCAAACATACACGCACATACATACACATATGACATATATGCATCCGTACATACATACACACACATATTTTCACATACAC